ATTTTAATTAGTGCAGGAAGGTCCCATGGTTTTGCTGCACCATTGAAACCCATTGCTCATTTTTCTCAATTTCAGAAATGTTTACACAAAATTATACTCTGTACTACTCCTTCCTGAATGATTTATTCTTCCCAAAATATTCTTCTATTTTCTACTAGTATTATATAAGTTCTTTATTGTGCATAATTTTCAGCCATATAATTTCCGCTTTTTTAATCTACTTGCAAAATCAAAGGGAGGAGATAATATTGAGATGAATGAGGTAATACCTATTTTCGATTTATCAACATTATCGATCAAATAACTTTTGATTTCGTGTGCTAAATACTTCAATAATCATAATAAGTAAGATTAATGTTACTTTTCTAGCTAATTGACTGAAACTAGTGGAGACGGAAAAGACTAATTTAGCCATTTCTCTATACGAGTAACTTTTTCTTTGTTTCATTAGTAAAGTATACTACTATATACTCCCTCCGTTCCCAAAAATTCTTCCCGGTTTGACTCGGACCGCTTTTTAATGCAAGGCTAAAAAGCCTTTGACTTTCCAATTAAACCCTTGGAGGGTTGGCCGAAAAAGGGGAGGGGGTAAAAATAAAGTTACTCCTATGAAGAATGATTAAATAAAGTGGGATTTGATAGATGTGATCAAAAAGGTGAATAGTACACCCCAAGCAAAAATTTGGGTTACAACTTCCCTCCTATTTTTAGAGGGACTTTCAAATGTTTTCTTCTACAAATACTCTCATTTCCCCATTGTTTCTTCCAACCTCCCATTACAGCACTCAACACTTCACACACACGCACACAATAAATGTCACAATTTCTTCTACCATAAATGGCAACTGCCATAAATGTTGTTTCCCCTTCACCTTCCATTAATGCGCCTCTTTCATCTTCTTCACCAACCAACCTGCACACAATAACAAATGAGGGTGAGTCAGAAGAAGCAGCCAGCAACGACAAAAGAAGAAGACTGTCAAATGTGGAAAGGGACACTATCATGAATCAGATCCTACTCAGTGCAAAAACAGACTGTTTTGGGGCGTTGGTAGCTCAGAAAGGTGTGTTCAGTAAACCGGGAACTGAATTTAAAGTTTCCAGAAGATCTATTTCAAGCATATGGGCGACTGCTAAAAAACAACTTCAGAAAGGGGACTCGGTGGATGTAACCAGTAGGTGGGCTGGTAATTCAGGAAGGAAAAGAATTGAAGTGGATATAAGCTCCATCTCTACAATTCCACTTTATAAAAGGACCAATATGAGGGCACTAGCTGCTTCCACAGGCATTTCAAAGACAACTTTGCACAAATGTTTGAAAAAAGGTATGCTTAGAAGTCACACAAATGCTATTAAGCCTTTCTTAACAGATGAAAACAAAGTTTCCAGAGTACAGTTCTGTTACAACCAAGTTGATAAGTCAAATCCAGGAAAGCCAACATTCCAGAATTTTCAAAATGTGATACACATTGATGAAAAATGGTTTTTCATGTCAAAAACTTCTCAGAGGTACTACATGGATTTGGATGAGGAGGACCCTCATAGGGTGTGCAAGTCAAAGAGGTTCATAACTAAGGTCATGTCCCTAGGAGTAGTAGGCAGACCTCTATTTTCAGACACAGGTGAAGTACTTTGGGATGGTAAGGTAGGCATATTTCCCTTCATTCAAAAGGTAGCAGCCAAAAGGAGAAGCAAAAATAGAGATGCGGGGGTGATGGAAACAAAACCTATAGTTAGCATCACAAAGGAAGTGTTCAAAGACATGTTAATCAACACTGTGTTACCAGCAATTAAGGCAAAGTGGCCAGACTACTTAAGCAAGAATATTGTTATCCAACAGGATAATGCAAGGCCACACATTTTAGGGTCAGATGCAGACTACATGGCAGCATCCCAAGTAGATGGTTTCAATATAAGCCAGACTCAACAACCCTCCAATTCCCCAGATCTTAACATACTAGACCTAGGATTCTTCAGGGCAATACAGTCATTGAAAGATCAAAAAGCACCCAGAAATGTTGATGAACTAGTACATGCAGTTAATGAAGCTTTCTATGAGCTTTCACCCATCACTTTGAACAAGGTTTGGTTAAGCTATCAATATGTCATGGTAGAAGTTATGAAGGTGGAAGGGGGGAACAATTACAAGCTGCCACACAAGGGAAATGATAGAATGATCAGAGAAGGGAGGCTGCCCATTGCTATTGAGGTAGATGTTGGACTGCTAGAAGCCATAGGAGGCTTCTTGTCCCAACATCCAACCTCTTCTACAAGCATACAGGAGGAAAGTGATGGGCATTTTATAATTGAAGAGGGTGAAGATGTGCAGTAGGTTGCAAAAAGATTTTTGGTTATTTTGTATAGGCCTTTTTTTGTCATTTTTGTACAGGCCTTTAGAGTCTGTAAGATGAAGTGTGTAAAGGTAAAGCCCCAACAGACTCATAGGAGTAGCTAGCCCTATATGTAGGAGAGGCCTAGATTTTTGTCATTTTGTAGAGGCCTATTTTTGTAGCCCTAACATTTTGTATGGTCAGACCTATTTGGTCATCACAACCCTCATACAAGCATTGGTCAGACCAATATGGTCAACACAAGACCCATACAAGCATTGGTCAAACCTATATGGTCATCACAGCACCCATACAAGTAAAGCTCAGACCTATTTGGTCATCACAGCCCTCATACAAGCATTGGTCAGACCAATATGGTCAACACAAGACCCATACAAGCATTGGTCAAACCTATATGGTCATCACAGCACCCATACAAGTAAAGCTCAGACCTATTTGGTCATCACAGCCCTCATACAAGCATTGGTCAGACCAATATGGTCAACACAAGACCCATACAAGCATTGGTCAAACCTATATGGTCATCACAACACCCATACAAGTAAAGCTCAGACCTATTTGGTCATCACAGCCCTCATACAAGCATTGGTCAGACCAATATGGTCAACACAAGACCCATACAAGCATTGGTCAAACCTATATGGTCATCACAATACCCATACAAGTAAAGCTCAGACCTATTTGGTCATCACAGCCCTCATACAAGCATTGGTCAGACCAATATGGTCAACACAAGACCCATACAAGCATTGGTCAAACCTATATGGTCATCACAGCACCCATACAAGTAAAGCTCAGACCTATTTGGTCATCACAGCCCTCATACAAGCATTGGTCAGACCAATATGGTCAACACAAGACCCATACAAGCATTGGTCAAACCTATATGGTCATCACAGCACCCATACAAGTAAAGCTCAGACCTATTTGGTCATCACAACCCTCATACAAGCATTGGTCAGACCAATATGGTCAACACAAGACCCATACAAGCATTGGTCAAACCTATATGGTCATCACAGCACCCATACAAGTAAAGCTCAGACCTATTTGGTCATCACAACCCTCATACAAGCATTGATCAGGCCAATATGGTCAACACAAAACCCATACAAGCATTGGTCAGACCTATATGGTCATCACAGCACACAAACATTCCATAACCAGCCCACACATTTATCATTACCAATCAAACATCACACTTTCATTAAGCAGCCAACATTTTGTTCTTAACAAACAATTTCAGAAAAAAGAACCACCATATTTTCATTATTGCTTCCCCAAAACAAACACTGCACTACACACACAACGTATATGTAAGCCAAGGCAGACAACTAAGTGCACAACAATAGCCATACATGATGTCACACACAGACAAACAAGATAGAGGAGTCAAACATAGGAAAAGAGATTAAGAGAGTAACTCCCCTGATTGGCAAAGAAGTCATACATCCACGTCCCACATCCTAGATTCCCAGCCGGGTAGGATGAGCTTTAGGAACGCTTCTAGACGAGGACTTTTGCGTATTGGGTGCATTTCTACCTCTTTCCGCCTTTTCTCCTTAGCCTCTTCACTGTCCAGAACCAGATCCTGCTTGGCCCGGTTAACTTCCTCCTCCTTTTCACTGTCTGGAACCACTAGTTCCATCGGACCTTCATCGTCCCCATGCCATGCCTCTTCGGTTTCCAGAACCACAAGGTCCACCGAAGTTTTACCGTGGTCCACATCGAGGTCATCATCTGGCTCGATTTCACTATCCGGCACCATCAGGACGCCCATGCAAGCATAGTATGGACCTTGATCTTCACATAGGGTTTCAGAGCTCGATTTTAGATCCATGGAGGTCGAATGTTAGGTTTACGGATTTGAATCAAGAACAGACGATTAGATCAACAAAATAAGCTAGGGTTGTTGTGGATTTGGGTTTAGAGAAGGAGAGGAGGCGATGCATCGGAAACAGAGGGATTAAAGGATGAGGGGAGGCGGTGCATCGCAATTGTGACAGACAAGGAGAGAGGGGCTTTCATAATGCGAGAGAGAGAATGGAACGACAAAAGTAGGGTAGAGTGTAAGCGGGAAAGAGAAAAGTGAGGAGGGTAAATATTTTAAGGGGTAAGATAGTTTTTTTAGTAGTAGGAAGTTTCCTTATTTAGTAAGTGGGAAGTATTTTTGGGAACAGCCCAAAATGGAAAGTGGGAAGAATTTTTAGGAACAGAGGGAGTATATTTTGAATATAGTAATTTCAAAATCAAAAGATACAATAAACTCAATCGCTTAAGACAAAATTTTATCATTTTCAGCAAATTCCAAATAATTTAAGTGTTACGAAATGAGCTCTCAATTTGCGACATTGCAATCAATTAAATTTAGAAATAAGAATAAACATGTTTTTACTCCAATCAAGAATAAACATGGTGAGGGAAAGAATACATAAATAGTAGTGATATAATATCCTCTGTATCTCATTAATTGCAACATTGGAGTATATACACTATTCATGCACTTTACTTTGACTACATTTTATTTATTAATATATGTGAATTATTTTTTTTTTTTGAAAAATGTTGTTAAATTTGTCTCATTACTAAGTTTTATAATCTAATTTTTATTTTATTTTTAGTAATACAGAATTAAATATAATGACAATCAAAGTTATGCGTTGACAAACGTTTAATGTTCTGTTGCAACTAAAAAGAGACCGAAGCAAGTACATAAACAAGTAATGAAATTAAAGTGATGAAACAACAAAGTGCCATTAACGAGAGCTATATCTATCTGCATATGGATATACAAAGGCAGGGGCGCTGGGGCGGGAAATCAGTCATCAGAAAGGGGGAAATAGGGGTCGCCCGCGGAGGCGGGGAAGTCGGAAAGGGCGGCAATGATTCGGCGGATGCTCAGAGTGCGAGCCGTCTTAAAGCTGGGTGCCGGGGAGAAGATGTTGGAAGTCTTGGAGAGAATGAAATAAATGAGAGCTTGTACCACTACAAACACCCCCACCTTCACCCACATCATCTCATTCCCGCCGCCGCCGCCGCCCTCTATCTCCATGCTTCACTTTTCTTAAAGCTCACTGTCTTCTTCGCCGGCGACAACACCACAATTTGTGTATGTTTATTATATATACGAAAGAATATTTAGCTTATTGAGAGATCGATTATGATTGGAAATGAGGAAAAGATGAGTGATTGTAAATTATATACTATCGAAGAAGACGACGCAGATAACGCACTGGAGTACAAGGTGGAGTTGGATGGAGCTTCAATCCATTGCTTTCTTGCACACAACTAACTCCTCACCATAATAAGGCTTTAACCGTTTTTGTGGAGTCCGTATACCGTGCAACCGGTGCATTGTGAGCACCGTACTCTCAGGGGTAAAATTCGCGTGAACAGTGTCCTTGCATTTGTCTCAATTTTTTTCGTGCGGTAAATCCTTTGTTTTGGTATGTAACTCACACTACTTTTAAATGTAAATACATTGCATTCAAATATAACTCATTGTGGTGTAACTCGCATTATGAAAAATGTAAACAATAAAAAAGTCTAAATCCATAATTACTTTACTTAAATCATGAATATGTTTTGTTTTTAATATCATGACCATCAAAAGGATTTTAAAAAAGATCATTTTTTGTTTCAATAGTAGGTGTTAATTTTTTAGGAAAGATCAATTGTTTTGTTTCAATAGTCGGCTACAAAGATTTGGTTGTCTTCTTGAATACAAATTTATTATAAAAAACATGATTGACAAAAAATTATGAGTAGTTCTTTTATTTGAAACTTCTTTTATTAGGGGTCGATACTCTATCTCTTTTTTTAATTGAAACTTCTTTTATTTTCCGATTTAGTCTATATTTGGCATGAGTAGTTCAACAACCCAAATGAGTTTGAAACATCTCAAATTTAGTTCAATGCTGTGAAAGTAGTCTTGTTTGAAAAACAAGTTGAAGTAGCCAAGTAAGTTGAAACTTAATTTTAATTGCAAAGTCAAAAGGTCATACAATAGCTAATGTTTCTATTCGGTCTACTCTACAATTGTTGTTTATTCCAAAATTTTACCGCTCTCAATAATAAGTCTCCCAATTCTAATCATTTGCCCGCTCTTAAGTTATGTTCGTCTATTCAAATTTGTACCAATATTTTCTTTTTTTGGGAACTTCTAGAAAATTTTAGAACTCTTTAGAGAAATGTAAAAATTTCTTGAATGTTTTGAAAAACTAGGGATGTCAAAAAAAACCGACCCGCAATGACCCGCCCTGGTCCGAGACATTTGGGGCGGATCCGCCCTGCCCCGTCTTGCAAATGGGGCGGGTCCACCCCGCCCCGCCTATACAATGGGGCGGGTCCAGGTATTAGAATTGACCCGTGCCGCCCCGACCCGCTGAATATATAAGTATACATACTTTTTCTTAAATTATAGTACTACAAATATACTTCAACATACATATGTGTATATACAATAAATCATAAATTCTTTGATCTTATAATATAGAAAAATTCTAAAGGTACACACTTTTTGGTGTACACACTTTTTACACATGTCTGTGTAAGGTTTTTTTTTATGTCTGTACAGACATAACATATTTTTAAAATACGTTATGTCTGTACAGACATAAAAAAAACCTTACACAGACATGTGTAAAAAGTGTGTACACCAAAAGTGTGTACCCCAAGTCCAACTCTATAATATATGAATACGGAGTATATATTATAATGAGATGCACGACGGATTATCAATGTCTTCTTTATATATAGAATTTTAATACATATATTCAATTATTAATATAACTAATAAGATTAACTATTCAAGTTTGAGTAATTTTTCCTTAATTTTTGAAATTTTTATCGTATCATGAATTTGATTTAATATATTGATTTTTAATTATTATCTAGAGATAAACATTATGTAGATTCAATTGGTAACAACTTCCCACAAAAAAATACATACTAGCTAATTAGGTTACGGCGGGGCGGGTCATGGGTCAACAAATTTGGACCCGTGCAGGTCACGGGGCGGGGCGGACCCGCCCCGCCAAGTCACGGGGCGGGTCCGGGTCTTGCAATACCCGCCCCGCCCCGCCCCGACCCATTGCCATGCCTATGAAAAACTCTAGAGAAGTATGGAACCTCTAGAGAGGTATCAAATAGTGTGGAACCCTCCGAAATATTCAGGAGATGTGTAGAGCTTTTTGAAATCTTACGAAAGAGTTATAAAAGGGTGTGGAAGTGAATCAATGGGTGTAGAAACTCCTTCAAATTCTCTAGAATATGAATACATGTGTGAAAAATTCTAGAGAAATACTCTCCATAATTCATAGTGAGATAAAACAACATCCAACCTTTAGTTTCAAAAGATTTTGAGGTCGACTAACCTGAAACCATACACGATAATGGAACCAAAAAGGAAAAAAAAGATGAGAAAGAAAAAAGAAAAAATATGATAATAACAAATAAGATAAATATAAATATAAATATAAGATAAATGTAAGAATGATAAGATTAAAAGGGTTAAAAGAATATATACATATATACATATAGAGTAACATTCTTGTCTTGCCGGTTCAGACAGGAGGCTCCTCCGGCCACCTCAATTTGAGGTGGTTCCCGATGATATTTTTTGATGGTTTTTTTGTGTATATTTCTCATCAAGTCTAGTTAATCCATACCAAATTTGAGCAAAAAATTCAATCGGGAAGGTCGTCAAATGATTTTTTCATGATAACTGGTCCGGAATATACATATAAAATGCAATTTTCATGCAAAAAACATTTGACGAACTTCCCGATTCGAATTTTTTGCTTAAATTTGGTATTTATGAACTAGACTTGATGAATAACATACACACAAAAAATCAGCAAAAAATACCACCGGGAACCGCCCCAAAATGGGGAGGCCGGACAGGGGTCCTGTCCAAACCGGCCGGACATGAACTTTTGTGCATACATACATACATACATACATACATACATACATACATACATACATACATACATACATACATACATACATACATACATACATACATACATACATACATACATACATACATACATACATACATACATACATATATGTGTGTGTGTGTGTGTGTAGGGTTGAGTTCAAATGAGAAGATATCTTAACGTGAAATATATGAATTAATCTCAGGCATCCAAGTTGTCAACCTGAGGCACAATAACCCTTATCTAATGCACTTTGGAATAAATATTATCTTATGCACTTTTCAAAAAGTGCATCAGATAAAGTTTATTCGAAAAGTGCATCAAAAAGGTTTATTGTACATCAGATTGACTTTTTGAACGTCTGTGATTAATTCTTATTTTACACAACAACAACATCCAAGCCTTAATCCCAAAAGATATTGGGGTCGACTAAGACCAAGGATTAAAGATAAAGAATAAAAAAGAAGTGCATAATCTGATATGTAGTATTATGCGTTAAGACTTTACACGTTAAGACTTTTTTATTTGATCCAAATTATTTAATAAAAAGAATTAAAGAAAGAATAAAAAAGAAGTGCATAATCTGATATGTAGTATTATGCTTTATCTATGACTTTTACAAATATGAGAACCTGTTTATTTTATTCTCCTACAACAATGATAATACACTTAAACACTCATCGACTTAGTGCAAGTCCAGGGTTCATGTTACATCTAATTATCCGCACGGGTAGTTCAACTGGTAAAGCGGTGGGAAAGTTGGACCAATGACCAAGGATCGAAAACCGCAACGATCGTGTGGAGGTCATAGCTCCTATGTGTTGGGCTGGGCCTCTGGTGCGCACGAGTATAAGATTTACCATCGTTAGGATTAGTTGAGTCACTGTGATTTACAACATCTCATGTGTTTTGTCAGATCAGAGCGTGAGAGACCCTCGAGGCAACCTTTTGGACCAATGGTACATCTAATTGGCAAAATTCTTTGACTTCTATGTGAGTGTCCAAAAATAAGATTACAGTATTATATGCACCCTTGACCCCAGGCCCCAGTACCCTAGACTCAAATATAGACTCAAATATAGAATGTAATTGTTCTTTGGTAATAGATGAGGGTTCAAACTCTTGCTATTGATTTTTTTGTAACTGCGACGTGCATTTAAATTTACTATGCCTGTAATGACTATTTGTCTTTCCTTTTGATTTGCTAGCTATTTTTCTTCTATCTACTAAGCAAGTTTATGAAGTTTATTTTTTATAATTACAATCTGGAAAATTTGGATCCTCAACAGACGATTGCCTTTTCTATCATTTGCAATGGAGCCAAAGATTCATTATTTTTTGGCTTGAGATTATGATGGAATAAAGCAAAATGGTTCACTAAATTGTCTGCGCTTCTTTGTAATGAATCAGCAGTCAGTCCATGCAATTTTGGACGCGATTTTCACTATGGATCATCCAGAAACAGTCTCTTTGTGCTTTATTATAGGGGTAAGACTGCGTACATCTAGGGATGGACTAAACCGGGTCGGGCCGGCCCGGAACCAGGCCAGCCCGCTACTGTGCGGGTCCGGACCGGACCGGGACCGGTTGGCTGGTTCCGTGCTTTTAGCCCGTTTGGGCGGGTCGGGTGGGCCGGGCTCGGGCCCAGTTTTGGGCGAACCGGCCCGGGCGGTTTGGGCCGGGGCCGGGTCAGTTTTTTTTTGTTTTTTTTTTTGTTTTTTCAAATATTTTTTCTTTTCCTAGGGTAGGGCTAGGTGTTTTGGGGAGGTTTGGGGGTGGGGGTGATGGGGGGGGGGGTCGGGGGATAACAAGAAAGCAAAAAAAATAGACATTGAACCGGGCCCGGCCCGGACCTGGTATTAACCTGGGCCGGTTCCGGGCCCAAGGATTTGCAAAAAAAGCCCACCCGGGTCCGGCACGGAACCGGAACCGGACCGGCCCGGGTCCATCACTACGTACATCCGACCCCCCTTACCCCACCGTAGGTGGGAGCCTTTGCGGCACTGAGGGAAATGAAAATGAAATGAAAATGAAACAGATCATTGTCTTCAAAAGAAATCAATTTCATTTCGTGATATTTTATGACATTTTTGTAGGAATTTTCCATCTTCTTTATTGAAAGTTACCAAGAGACATCGAACACCTTCTTGGAAGGAGCTCTCCAACAAATAAACATGACAAAAAGATATGGAGATAACTATGTCTTCAATATCTC